CTTCTATGCACATCAATGAGCAACCCTACGGCAGTATCAGCAACATCTTCTGAGAATGCACTCCCAGAAGTGGTCACTGATATTCCACGCCGCCGGCACTCGACCAAGTCGATGCTGTCGACCCCAGCAGTGGAGCAGACAACAAGTTTGAGTGCCGGAAGCAGCCGGAGGAGGTCTGCACTGACCTGAGTGAAAGGGTAGCGAAGCATGGCATAGGTGGTCAAGAACTGGTCTAGAGGGGGTTCTGACTCCCATGCTTTGAGGAGATGGAATTTTTGAGACAACTGAGATTCAGCAATTGCCAAGGATGATGGAGGGCGAATAATCAGGAGTTGTGGGAGGTCTTGCGATTGGGATTGGACCATTATAGTATAGCATGAGCATATGTTTTAGATAGAATTTCAAATGTAGAAGAAGACCAGTATATAATATTTTCATGATCTAGAGGGCATCATATGGCCGAGGGACCCCACAAAAATAATAGCCTCATTGAAATTTGCATCAGAGAAACAGTAGAATCAGAAGAATGGTGTATGATTGAATTGAATTGAACATTTTGTTTTAAGGCATAAATAACTCCTATTTTTTTGTCGACGGGCATAAATAACACTAGATCATTACCTTTTTTTAAACCACATTAACTATCTGAATAAACGTGTCACTGAATATTTATCATAATAATTTGATGCAACGAGTAAACATAATTATCAATTATCAAGCAATGTAATCACTTTAGCATTTTTCCTCATTTACGAGAAATTATAGATTACCTTACCCAAACAGAGAATGCGGAAAACATTTGAAGGCCTAGATGAATATTTCACTAAATCATGCTCATTTTTACTACCATGTGGAAAATAGGGAAGGAATTAGTTAAGTGCTCCAAATAGTAGGTGAAGATGGTACGATATATGCAATGAATTATGAATGCCCATTGTTGCTGATGTATGGGCTGGCGGATGAGCCTCATGTTTTCTGTGGTCTTTCGATATTTCTTGGGATTTTGTCGGTTAAATGTCGTTGGGCCGACTTTTATAAGTTTTGAGCAATAGTTTAGAAAAAGAAAAGGGATTTTTGCATAAATGTCGTTTGAACTTGCCTCTGTTTCAATTTGTCACTCTAAAGAAAATTTTAAGAGAGATGTCATCTTAATTTTTCAAAATCCATGATTTGTCATCTAACTTTAACACCATCCAATTTTCCATCCATTTTAAGGGTATTTTGGTCTTTCCATTTTTTTTTTTTAAAAGGATACACATTGCATAGGACCCTCTCTCTCTCTCTCTCAGCATGTATAAATTTTTTTATGGTGTTCATTGAGCATGTCTACAATTTTAAAAAAGAAAAAAGACGAAGAAGAAGGTGGACTTGGTTTGGGTGGGCTGAGGGAAGGTGTTCCGTGGTAGAGAGAGGAGGAAGGGGAAGAGAGAAGGGTGAATTGAGGAAGGGGCTATGAAGAGGGAAGGGGGCAAGGACGGAACCAGGAATTTTTATAGGGGTGGGCTAATTTTTTTTTCCAATAAGATATCTAACATAAACTTGTTTGTCATAAAGTAATATATACATAAACACCAAATTAAACACACATTGTCAAACCTCAAACAAATAATACATTGCTTAAAAAAAAAAAAGAGCTTACCTAATGAAGTGGAACCCTACGCTCCTTGAGTGCATCAAAGTCATCAATTATTGAATCTGAATCAATGTTCACAGAAATTTCTTTCTCGATATAGACAATAAGGGAATCTGCAAGATACTCATCCTCCATCTTGTTGCGAAGTACAGTCTTAACATGCTTCATAGCTGAAAATGCTCGTTCTGTAGTTGCTGTAGATACTGGAAGAGTTAACACTAAACGAATCAACCTATCAATCAAATAATAAGTCTTTGCTCTGTTCGTTTTGATGAATCCTAGACATAGTTCAGAAAGAGTAGACATGTTTTGAAAGATACCATGATGTTGGTCAAACTTAAAAAGTTCTAGCTGACATCTCAAACAAACGCAAGTCTTTAACACTGTTGCCCGAACACGGTCCTTCGATACTCAAAAAGTTTAGGTTGATAAGGCCCCAATTTGATATAAGCCTTCGAACCTCATCATGTTGATTAATGGGGTATTCACAAATTGCAATGCGTTTCCCTGGATCCCGTTCTAAACAAGTAGCATCAAATTCTTTAGGGCCAACTATTTGAGATTCAAGATGAGTAGGTTCTTCCGGAATCGAAGTATCATTCCCACTTTTTTTAAAGAATGAATCAATAGTTTTTCCTCTCTTTGTCAATCTATTATTATCATCATTTGACATTATGTCCAAACAAGAAATAATACTATAAAGATAGAGAAGCAATAATGCTAACGCAATCAGCAATCCAAAATATGCAATCCAAACTGCATAAAGCAAAATATGTAATAGTTTATTGCATTGCATTTGCAAATTGCATCTACTGCCATATACCATCAAGAACTATAGATAACATACGCCAAAATTTCAATTAAAAAAAATCAATAAGATTATTGTACCTGAAGAGTGTATTGTAGCCTTTGGTAGAATTCCAATTTCAAATTTCCTTATTTTCTCAATACCTGTAGAAATACATATAAACCCAAATATTAATTTAAAATGACATTTTATCATTTACCAAATGCGCCATAAACACATAAATTGAATTTTGAAATAAAAACTACAATGATGAAGTTTACCTCTTGAGAGGAAATCAGTATCGCCGGCTCATTCATTATCAAGATGCAAGAGGAAATCAGTATCGCCAAGAGTAAGACCAAGAGAAACGAAAACAGAGAAGAGAGCTGAAGGTTAATAGGGAAAAGAGAAGAATGTATGTGCGATGGGAGAAGAGAAGAATGTTTTTTATTAGTTTATTATATTAAAGACAAGGAATGTGATGAGCTTTGTTGTTTTGTCAAACTAATATTAAACAAAAGAAAAAAGCACAAGACAAGGGAACATGTTCGGCTGACATTAGGCACAGATGATGGGCTAATATTTTTGGGAGTCAAAATAACCGTATAAAATCTGCACTCAGTTTAATATTTTAAAATTTTTGCACTGGGCTAGAGGCCACCTGAGCCTATACACAGTTCCGTCCTTGGAAGGGGGAATGGATTTCAAGGTGGGCAGGGTTGGTTGGAGCCGACGGTGGCACACAAGGGGTAAGGTGAGATTTTTTCTTCAATTTTAATTGTTTAAAAGATATACGATTTTCATTATAATGATTTTTCCATTTTTAAAATACCCTTTAAAATAGAAAGACTAAATTAACCTTAAAAATAGATGGAAAATTGGATGATATAAAAGTCAAATGACAAATCATGGATTTTGAAAAATTATGGTGTCATTTCTCTTAAATTTTTCTTTAAGGTGACAAATTGAAGTATAAGTTTAGGTGACATTTCTACAAAAATGAAAGAAAAGGTGAAAGTGCAATAGAAGCTCTTTACATTGCAGAAACAGTCATGGTTTCTTTATTGTTTTATTGAATTTCGTTTTATTTATTTATTTTACTATTGTTGTGCTTATTTAACTATTAGAATTAAATAATTGTATAACTGATTGTTGTTAGACCAACAAGAAAAAACAATATCTAACACAAACCACAAAACGATGTTTCGATTAAGGAGGTGACATATTTGTTCGAACACTTTCCACTACCGTCTTCTAAAATCATATCCAACCCATCAGTTTCAACCAATGGGTTTTCAAGGTTATTTGGAATGGGATTGAAGTCAAGTTCTTCTCACCTTCTCTTCTCTAAAACCCAGAGACCCATTTCGTTTTTCTCACCTTCTCTTCTCTGGAACCTAAATGAGGCATGGGTACATATTGGTAGTTCGCGCATGACCACCACTTTTGTCGGGCCAATATGAACACTACCCATCCCTACTGTCTGGACATACCTATATAACCCGTATTTTTAATCTCACTATTTGCAATCTCATCCTTAAGCGAAGCCTTAACCCTAAAATCCTCTCAATCTCCTAAATTATTTTAAATGATATCAAATAATTTTTTAGACTTTTTACAAGTTCTGCATCAACCAAAATTGATAAATATTTGTGTGTGTTCTTATTTTGTAGGCCAGGAAGTAAAGATTAGATAAACTAGCGTTAATTTCTTCATTTTCCTCTCTGAAGCTTCCTTCTAGACCTCCCGTATGGCAGCCTTATCATTATCAGAATCCTCCTTATAGTGTAGTATGATTCCTAGGAATTGTCTGGTCCTTAGGATGATGGCATATAGGAATGCGACAGTTGCTATAAAGAAATTATCGAAATTATATGGCCACAAATATTCAAAATGTTGACGCCAAAAAGTGGTTTCCTGACTTAGAGGGTCAACTTAGTAAATTTGTATCTTCGGTAGCTTTGATGCTTCGGTAGACTGTGCGATCTGCAATAAAAGCAAACGCACGGTAGGACCTAGGGCACCGGTGTGGTACCGGCCGAAGGCTTTCCGATGCTTAAGTAAGTTCGGGAATAGAAAGTTCAACTGACAGATCAATAGGCTTGTATGCCGTAAGTTCTGATTACCTCCATTTTGGGATAGTTGGCCTCCTTTTATAGCTCTTGGGAGGTGTGCATTTTGTTGATTATTTCGATGTGGGACTGTGGGCGTCGCTTGGGAGCGCGCCACGTGTCCCAGGAGAGGGCGTTGCCCTAATGGAGAGATCGGTAGGTAGGGTGCCGAGGGTGCCTCTGACCAAGCCCAGTTTCCTCCACGTGTCTTGTCCTTATTGGCTGCTTAATTTGGGTGTAAACACAAAACAACAATGGAAGAAAGCAAAACTTCCTCAAAATTCATCCATTTAATTTCCTCCAATATTTTCACTCAATATAGAAAATAATATCATAATGTAGATTTAGAAAACTAATGAACCGTGTCAAATATAGACATAATACATCTTTTCAACTCATCTTTATATATGACTTAATTTTAATTTTCAAGTGAGCAAAAATTGAAATGACCCAAAATATTCATTTCCAGTGTCAGCAAAATAATTGTGATTGTCAAACTGATTGTATTTCATAACAAAAGTGTCTAAGAAAATCCTACAAATAATTTTGCACCTCACATGTCCCCCTTATCTCTTCCTATCTCTCTCCTCACGTGACTCACATGAGGAAATAGATAGAAAGAAAGCGGAGACGTGCAACGGGAGCATAGAACTTATATTCCAAATGCTCAAGGAAGCTGGACAAAAACTTATTTTATACAAACAAGCATCCTCTTGAGTTAACAATCATTATATTTGGCAAGCAAATCCACACCGTCTGCTGCATGCAAATCATACAACTCTCAAATATATACCAGTAACGATAACACCTCAGTTCATCTCTGTACTCTCTAATAGCCCCATTCATCGCATCAATATTTGGTCCCCTGCTTCAATTCATAAAAGTGCACGAACCTTACTAGAAGAAAGATTAGAACAGAAATGGCTCAAGCTCCATTGCAAGTGGTTTCTGTATGAACCATTCCCAAGGGAAACAAACCAAAATGGCATGCAAGATTATGCAAAAAGTCATGGAGACACTAACCTGCAAATAGAAATTGATTTAATTATCCACAGCCGGTGAAAGCAACGGTTTATTTGAGAAGAATGCTTCGAAATTCCCTGCTACTAGTTCACACAAAGCTATGAAACATTCTGGTGTGAAGGTAGCATAATGTGGCGACAGTACAACATTGTCCAATGCAAAGAGCTCTTCAGGAACTTCAGGCTCATCCTCGAACACATCCAAACCAGCACCTCCAATCTCTCCTTTCACCAAACACCGCACCATTTCCTTCTCATCGATGATAGCTCCGCGTCCTATGTTTACAATCACGCCATCTCTTCCCAGCGCTAACAAGACTTTCTTGTTGATCATGTGGTGGGTTTCAGCAGTCAATGCACAACAAATGACGAGGGCGTCACTGTTAGCAGCAAGTTCACTGATATCAGAATAGAAAGGGTATGAAACGAATGGCTTTTCCGTCCTTGAGTTGTACAATATGTTGCAGCCAAAGGCCTCAAGTCTTTTGGCAACTTCTAAGCCAATATTTCCCAATCCGACAATCCCAACTCGTTTGCCTCTTATCTGGCATTTCCAATCATAAAAACCACTTTAATTTACTTTAAACAAAAGAGGATTTCAATTATCTGTTGACAAATTTCAACGCATAACATAATCATTAAGTGGTAAAGAACTGACGTTGTTAAAATTAATTTAACACCAGAATAGCTCCCACAAATCATTTTTGTTAAAAGATATTTAATCAAACACTACATTTGTGATTGTTTTCATCTAAACATTGAAAGGGAATGCATAACTAGGAACAACTGATTTCAACCATAACCAAAGGAAACAAGCCAAAACACAGAAAAGATTAAGGCATGTGAGCTAGAAATGAATGCTGCTGACCTTAGAACCGAGAGCATAGTCTCCTCTGGTAGCCCAAAGCCCGTCTCTGACATACCGATCCCCAGCCGAAATCTTTCTCATGACATCAAGAAGCAGCCCCACAGCCATATCAGCAACATCCTCAGTGAAGATTTTAGGGGTACTGGCAATGGCAACACCGCGGCTTCGACACTCGGCTAAGTCAACATGGTCAATGCCAGCGCTGGTGGTGACAATGACCTTCAAGGAGGGCAGCATTTGTAGTATATTGGCAGTGATGGTTGGTCCATTGGCAGAGGACAGCAAGGCCTGAACAGAGCCTGCATGTGCGGCCAAGAACTGGTCTTGAGGGAGAGGAGAGTCCCAAGCTTTGAGGAAGTTGAACTTGTGGGAGTAGTTGGACTCCAAGAGAGTGAAGCACCCAGGTGGGAGAAGTACCAGAACTTGTGGGAGTTCACTGTGATTTCCATCAACTGCCATTGGATTGGCTTCTTGTTCTTGAGACTTGAGAATTGTTGAGGTGGAGATAGGTTTCGGAAGTGGCAATTGAGAAATTGAGAAACAAGTTTGATTATCTATGGAGTATGGACCCACAACTGTTAACTGGTAGATGCTTTACCTGCTTCCTTTGACAAAAAGACATCCAGATGTTTTGTATGTATATACGAGATTTTTCCTATCAATTCAGCCAGTTTTCAATTTGTGGTGGCTGCGGGGCTAAATTTGTACCCAGTTTTCAATTTGCCCCTGAATTTGTTGATTGCTGGTTGGAGATGGCTTCTGGGGTGGTGGCTGCGTGGGTTAGGGTGGATGTGTGGACCGGAGTGGTGGCTTCATGGGTTGGGGTTACGTGGCGCCTGCCTGAAACTTAGGAGGAGGATGTGGAGAGAGAAGGTTACGGAATGAACAATTTTGCCCTCAAACTTAATGGAGAAGTGGATGAAATATTAGGAAATTTGACGATAGGGGGACATTGGCTAAATAAAATAGTTTAGACCCTTAATTTTTTTTTTTAAACATCAATGGGGCAAATTGAAAATTGAGTACAAGTTCAGAGAGTTCAACAGCTTACTCTCATCATTTTCTGTAGTTGTTTTAGATTAACATACCATTGCATCAAACCTCTTGGGATATCACAAGAATAAAATTTATATAAACAAAAATGTTTTTTTTTTTTTTTTTACAATGAGCAACATTTAAATAAAGCCTAAGACATTAAACAAGCTATAAACATCACAGAAAGATGGAAAATGGGGCACCACAGTACTTTACAATCTTGGCTTATTTCATTCACCATAGCTGCTTCACCAAAATTATACTCAACTAGTAAACAATTAAACACCAGGAACGTAGGGTTCAAAGAGCTTCACACAAGGATTTGCATCATATTGCATAATCTCAGCTGCACGTTCAAATTCCTCCCTTAAAACTTTTATGCTGTACTTGTCCACCACTCGACCCAGGTCATGGGATATCTCGAAAGGATCCTCTATGCATATCAAATGCCGATCATTCCCAATCCTCCTTGTCCAGTCTTTTTCCCGCTTGCTGAACAAATTAACATCATAGCTTAAGTTCTTTTTCTTTGGGGGGGTGTTAAATAATTTTCATGGTAAGACATGCAAATGTTCTCAAAATACTTAGAATATTCCAGTGATGACAATTTAACTGTCCTTCCATTCAAAACACACTTAAAAGAAAGAAACTAAACAGGTTAAGTAATAATTATATAATGAATCAATATTTTAAGTTACTTATCTTAATAAAACATAACAGATTCCATATCTCACCTGAGTATGCTTCCTGTACGAACAGATATGACAGAATTTGCATAATCATGACCATATGCCCAGTAATTGAAAAATGCCCACACCAGTTTAGCAATAGGTTCCCTGTTATTGGATCCAAAATCTCGAAGTTTGTCTACTTGATCAAAGAAAGCACATTCGATGTTCTCGACAGTGACAGAGTATGTTGACTGCATTTCCTGAAAGAGAACAGAGGTAGTGCTTAAACACACAAATAGAACGATACTGAACTATGATGTCCATATATGCCTTGCATGCCTCTCGTTGAAGCAACTAGGAAGACATACCTGTAAGCAGGGAAGAACAGCAGGTCTACGCTGTTGTAAGAAATGAATGCACATCAAAACATACCTGAAAATGAAAAGGCAAACATTTAGATTTTCATGCTAAAGGGAACAAAAGTATCTCCCAACCTTGTGTTGCTAATGTTGGGAAGGTGAAACTCAAAAGTTAACTTACGCATAGCTAGATAGGGTTCCTTGGTAAGTTTCATTGACTCCTCTTGACTTGGCCCAATGTTTCACAATAAAAGCCAACTGCCGTAACCTTGCATCTATGTTTGCATAATCACGAAGAAGCTTTGTATTTATAACAGCCAAAACATTGTTGATGCATATGTCACAGGAGATACCAGTGACAGGATCCATAAGCTTTACTATGGGAACCCTAGCACGTGTCAAGGCCTGAACCAAACAGGAATATGCATAAGGTGGATATTAAATCACCAAAAACTCTAAGAGAAACACAAGGGGTTATGCATAAGGTGGTTATATATTCATACATTGTTTCACAAGATCCCTAAAGTTAGACTTAGATGTATGATAACTGCATCAACATGTGGGATACAGAATTGCATTTCATGAACGCCTTGTTACTAATAAGCCAAAAAGCTACCTACACATTTCCTGGACTTAACAGTCAAGATAGAGGATGTCACTTAAAGATGGAAAAAAAAAAAGGTGGGGGAAGAAGGCTCAATCTTAAGCACACATGTGATAAAGATTTGAAGTCTTGGAGGTTTAAACAGCATTCCTTGAAATTCATGTGGACGAGATAAGTGAATCCAACACATAATGCCAAGCAAAGCATGAAAAATTTATATTCCACACCTAGTTGACCAATACCTAATAATCTTTTTCAACCATTTATACAATTTTATGGTAATAAGATATTCTTGAGAGTACGCAATACCAATAAATTACTAAAGCAAAACCATAGAGCCCTGTTTAACACCTTAACCACAGAATTTTATCTTCCCCTCCTCTAATATAATGTTTTACAGTTCATTGCACTCAACACTCAATGGGACATTATACAAAAGAATAATACTGCTTACAGAACCATAAGATAAATCTTAAATAGTAAGACATATAACAGCCCTGATTCTTTTTTTTGGTCGAAAACAGCCCTGATTCTTGCATATAAGATATCAGAGTCTTGCATATAGAGGCAGAGTCTTGCATCTTTAAAATATTCCATGATAAGAGATATAATTTTCTACCACTTCAATATATCCAATCAACCATCAAGTATAAGTGGCCAAACAATATTTTGCAGAGGTAAAGCCCTAAGTAGGTAAAAAGATTCCCCTTGTGTTTCCCTTATCAACCGAAAGAAGCACAGTTTTCCATATCATTTAAACTCGAACATATAATTCAGCTTTTGTTTTTCTGTGCCATCAGAGGGTAATTTTTTGTCAGAAAGTTAAAATTTATGCCGTTGAAGAATTTTTTATACCCAAATACAATGTCCAAAACATTGCAAGTAGCATCCATCAAGATTTTCCAATGCCCAAATGTAAAGTTTTATCTATCACATAAATTCATGAGGAGAGACACCCTGATTCACCTGCACATTCTGTAGATTGTCTGATTGCAAAATATCTGCCAACCTTAATAAGATCTCAGACTTGTTGTCATCTGCCACATCAATTGCAAGACAAAGATCAATATCACTTTTAGAAACCCCAAATGAGTTGCCACACGACCCATAGACATACAGCTGAGCTTCAGGCCATTCCTTGGTTATTAATGTCTCTAATAATGTAAATAATTGATTCTGCTTAGCCTTCTCTTCCTCAGTTGGTATCAAGGAATCATAAATTGCAAGAAAAGGGGCATTTAGCCTGTCTATGTCAAAGCGACATTGCATCTGTCTTTTGAAGATTCTCATTCTTTGGCTAAGTAGGTGTTGTCCTCTGTTATCTGATCTTGAATCCTGATAATGAAAACTATAAGTAACTCATATCTAAACCATTTGTTGTTTGAATAATTAACGAACATAAACACACACAAATGATGGCTTCTTATAAGGACCTGACTTGAGAATTGGTGTCGCACCATGTGGTTAGATATGGATGGCTAACATATAGCGTAGATGAGAATGAGATGCTTCTCAAAAACGATAATCAAGTGAAGTCCCAATAAACTCTCCATTCATTACATAATTTTCTCTTGTGCCAAAGAGTTTGGTATAACCCAGACCGCTTATTCAGACATGACTTCACTTTACCAATCGTTCTGATTAACAGTCTGACAACAAAAAATTACTCTGCTTGTGTATCTCTATGTATAACTATGTTTGCTATGGAATGATAGGTATCATTTGCAGAAATTTATTAACCAGCAGAGCAGTTACAAATTCACCAAAACACAAAAGCTTTGAAACAAGTGTCAAGCATAGAATTAACATAGGTAAGCATTAACTTGAATCCAAACAAACAAATTCACTTCATGAATTCTCATAGCATTCAAAACCTTTGTATGTATCGTAAATTCATAATAGAAAGGAAAATAAAAAAAGGTTTAACCTTTTCGCGCGAATTATGGTGTTGCTTCGCCTCATTCTTGTCATCCTCCTCATTCTTATCATCCCTTTCATGCTTCAAATTCATCATCGACTTTTCAATCTCTGAAGCTGAAGCCGAATGAAGATTGGCGCCAGTGGGTGGACCAGGATCATCAAGCTGTGCACTGAACCCCAATCCGCGAGCCCCATTGCCTCGAATTCGACTGTCTTCACTTGCCAAACTTCTCACTCTCTCATCCTCAAAAGAAGCATCCCGGTTCCTCACAAATTCACTTGAACTCTGCCTTTCCCTATCCACATTGTGCTCAAAGTCTCTCCTTCTACTCCCAGAATCCCAATTCCCTCCTCCTCTCGAATTGTTTCCAAACCCAGGCGGTGGAGTATTCCTCTGAAATTGCTTTCCCCTTCCAGCTCCAGCTCCACCTCCGCCCCGTCGTTCCTGCTCTCGAGAATTGAAATTATCAGGATTTCCATGCCGAAACTCATTCGAAGTGGAAGAATTGTTCGGATTCAAATTGAGACTCCGGTCGAAGCCATTGCTGAGATTGGAAACCTCAGAGGATGTGTTGGCATTCACTGAAGGCTCGGGATTTCGGATAATGTCGTTGGGCAAGTAACTAAACTTGAGCTTCTGCTGCTCTTGGTGCTGCTGTTTCAGCTGGGCAAGGTTTTGGCTTTGGAGGGCATTATTGCTCGGACTCTGAAACCCTACTAGATTTCTCAAATCGTCCGTAAGGGCGAGGTTACCCGGGAATTGGTTTCCACCAAATTGGGGAAAGGGATTGGGAGGAGAGGGAGAGGGATAGGGGTTTTGGGGAAACCCTAGAAAGTTGAAAGGAGAAGGAGGAGATTGGGTGGACCAGAGAGAAGAAGAAGAAGGGTTGGGGAGCTGAGAAAGATGATCCCGGCCGTTGGATGATACCCACGGTGGTATCGGCGGGAAGGGGAGGGTGGGGCCCACGGCTGCGACAGCCGGATCAAGCACCGGAGATTGTTGTTGCTGCTGTTGATGTTGCTGTTGGTGGTGAAGGAGGTGAGGCTTCTGTTGGAGCAAGGACAGGAGGAACTCGCCGCCGTTAGACGCCGGCAGAAGCGGAGGGTCACCTCCACCGCCGGCCATTGGGCTGGGCTGGGCTGAGTATGGGCTTCTTCGAAGTTTCAGTTTTTGAGCAGTCGCAGACTCCCAGTCTCTGAAGCGACTCTTCAAAAAAAGTCTGGAAGTGAGAGAGAGAGAGAGAGAGCGAGAGAGAGTGCTTTAAGAAAGAATAATAAAAAGGAGCGTGTAAGAGAGAGAGAGAGAGAGAGAGAGAGAGAGAGAGAGGACAGTCGTTGTTTGATGAGTTGATGTAGTTTAGTTTTTTTTTTGTTTTTTTCGAATAACAGGTGAATTCATTTAAAATCAGGATGTAGTTTAGGAGATGTTTGTTTAGATTTGGATTTGGAGAATCCAACCCTCCATATTTAGTATCGGTGCATTTATATGCATTTAGAAAAACATCAATGGTTTAATAGATCTAATGAAACTTAAATATTCCACATCAATATAATTGTATTAGATTAAAAAGTCTCCTTTCGCACTGTATCACTTACCTATCTCTTCCTCTCTCATGAGTCCTTTCCCCCTTCTCTCCTATAATTATATCATTTGATAATTATGAAAACCTGGAATTTGATTTCCCAAATCAATTCGCCATGTCTCATACTAATAAATTAGCTTTTTAAATTTATTAATTTGACTTAAATATGACATGTGAATTGGTTCTCATAAAAAGAAAATCACACTAGGTATAGATTATAGGTTTGATTTAATTTCTGCTCCTGGGTTCGTCTACATCTTTCTCTTGGGCTTGTTTTAATTTATTCTTGAGTCTGATTTGATGTATTTTCTGTTTGTGGGTTTGATATGATTTGTTTTTTCGGTTTCTGCATTTTGGTTGTGGGTTTCATATCTGCAAAAGCTTATAAAAAGAATGAGAAAAAAAAAGGGGGGTTTGATGGGGTGAGGAAGAAGACAGTGGTGTGGGTTTGTTTAATTGCTGCAAAAAAGAAGAAAAGAAAGTAACAAGCAAAGAGCAAAAGTGCAGGTGGGGTCGAAGGGAGGGGAGACTGAGATGAAAAAGTTACAATGATAAGGTGCAACGTTAGAGTTTTTGTCTAATACAATTATATTGACGATATTCCAAATACGTATAAATGCATCGATGCTAAATGCTGAGACTCAGAATTCTGAATTTGGACAATTTACAAATATTTGTATTAACATTAACTACAACTTACTATTGTCACGTTTGTGCGCTTACTGGTTAACTACGTGCATCATGATTCGTATCATATCAACCAACAATGCAATAACGTTATCTTTTTATTATCTTCATTAGCGGTGGCGTTATGGGTCTCTTCGGTTGCGGAGAGGATGTGGAGCGGTGACTCTGTTTCTTTGTTTGTTTGAATATATTACTACTCTTTAGGAGTTTGCTTTATTTTATTTTAATTCTCAGGAACTCTATAGAATTTTGCTGTGTTTTGTATTTTAATTTTCGACTGCGATAGGGATCTGCCGTTTCTGCCATTGCACGGTTGATCTATATTGTTAATTTGAGTACAGGCGTGTCGCCTGCTGAATAAGGGGTTTGAGTATTTATTCGTTTAGGCGTAATTCTCTCCAAATCAATTCAACATATTGTTGTGTTTGGTCACTGAAGATATTGTACCCATTTCAATACTTTTGTAACTTTGTACTTGTTTTGTTTCATCAATAAATATTATCGTTTTTTTTCTCAAAATTCGTAGCCCTTCAGTATTTTATTTATTTATAGCATATTCTTTAAATATATTGGTTAGTTTAATTAAAGTACTACTTAGACCATATTCAAAATACATTTTAAATGAAAGAGGGGAGGGGGGGGGGGCATTTTTGTATGAAAAAAGAAGAAGGATAATATGTATTAAAAAAATGAAAAAATTGTGGGAAATTTTGTAGAAGAATGAAAAGAGTAACGATAATATGTAAAAGGAAGGATGAAAAGAATGTGGGAAATTATGTAGAAATGCAGTTGGTATTTGTAGAAAAAAATTATGAATTTTTTAAAACTTTTTCAAAAAAAAAAATCAATTTTTTGGATAATAATAATAACGGTTACCTAACGTCAGCAGGCTTGAAATAGCCCACCCATGAATCATGCCAGGTTTGGCCCAGAACTTAGCCTCTTCAGCCGGTTGACTAGGTTTGGCCTGGTGATATAGCATATTTAGCCCATTTACTAGAGATGGCTTTCGGGTGGGAAATGACAAAATTTGTGAGTTTAGCTTGCTGCTGAAGATGGCCTTATACACCTCATCATGTTAATAATGTGCTCACTTAAACATGTAAGTAAAACTTCACAGGATTTATATTTAATCTATTCTTGACTAAAGCAAAGTTAAATTGTCATTTGGAAGCTTTACATTGAAGTAATGTTAAAGTAAGATCGACATTTGTTGAGTGTTTTTTTAACTTTCTAATAATTTTTTGAATTGGTTGTCGCGGTTCTATTCAATAAACAAATATTGAATACACATTAATCTTTTCGTAGCTAGTTAATAAAACTATGTTAGAGGGTTGTTTGACAGCTGATCATTAAAACATAATAGAGGGAAAAAGAAAAGAAAAGGCCAACTTAAGCTCAAAAAATGAACCGGATCATTTTAGATTGATTCCCTTTCCTATTCTTTCCTTGAAAAAACCGGCTAATCAGTTGTGTTATTTTACTTATTTATTTATATCAAAATATACTAATAAAGTCAATTAATATTAGAATCACATTCTTTTGATGATGTTTCCTATTAAGAGAGACAATAATATACTAAATTCACACATATTACACGGATGTTAGGACCCGAACCGAAGTCATATACTTGGGGAACAATTAACCTAAACCACTACATTAGTGGGTCCTTTGCTCGAATCATATTTTTAACCTCAAGTACTGTTTATATCGTTTAACCCAATTAATATTCAAATGTCTTAATCCAAATTTATAGTCAATTAAATGACAACTATAACACTATTTTTTCTCGTTTAGGTGAACCATGGTCATTTTCCTTTTTCACACCTCCTTTCTTTCTTCTCCACCTTTTTCTTTCTTTTTCTCTTCCTTTTTCTCTTTTGTTCACCTCTAGCTCGATTTGACACATCAAAGGCTCGCCGCCATCACCTTTATGTAGCTTCTCATATTCCCAAATTGAAACATGGGTGAACCAAACTCAAACCGTATAGGTCTAGTTTGATTCGGTTTTCTCCGAAAATTATGCACGAATATCGAACCATGTGTTTTTTGTTTTTGTTTTGGTTCCAATTTGAATGGTAAACAGGGCCTGACTGGAATGTGCCCACATCAACTTCTCATCAAACAAATCCGTGCTAAAAAATCCTGAGATCATTCGGTGAATAGTTTCCAAACAGTCCATTTTTTGGTAAACTAGTTCTAAAGCATAACAAATTCACTAAAATGCAAGAACTTATCAAATACCATATAAAAACACCAAAAGCTTCCCATAAAATATATTTTAAATAAATTCATCAATCTAAAGCAAATCATTTAAAGTACCTTGTCTCAAATGGGTTTTGATGAGTGAGAGTGAAAATATAGCTTCTGTTTTTCATTTGGTGTGACAGTCCCCTAAATCATTAGCTTCAAAATTCAAGCTTTTTTCTTTAGCCCTAAAAATATTTTTTTAGTGTGGTGGTGATATAACCATGATTATAAATCAAGGAAATTAATAACATCAACTGTAATATACAAAAATTATTCCTAAAAATCAAATTCAACGTGCCAAATAAAACAATATTCCCTATCAGTGGTGGCACCAAATCACCAATTGGATAAGGAAAATCCCATCCCCTTGGAAACATTATGCATACTTGCTCACCCAAATATCATGGTTCCAAAGCGCCAAACCTTACTGCGTATATATCTACATATATAAATATCCATATTTATATGTAGAGGCTCTGATACTTCTGATAAAACTCAATACTCCAACCCAGAAAATTTACTTCATCCCCGTTTGTCCCTTAATGCATCCATCCCTACCTATAGGAATTGTCTGGCCCCTCAAAATTATCAGGTCTCTAAGAAAAGTAACAGCACAAATGAACCTTCATAAGAGAAATGCGATAGTTTCCATAAAGAGATACTAGGAACATTAAATTTATCAAAATTATATGGACACGAAAGATTCAAACCAACAATGGAAAAAGGAAAAACTTCCTCAAAATTCATCAATTTAATTTCCTCCAATATTTTCACTCAATATAAAAAATAGTATCAGAATGTAGATTTAGAAAACTAGTGAACTGTGTGGAATATAGACAGGATACATATTTTCAACTCATCTTTATATACAATTTAATTTTAATTTTCAAGTGAGAAACAATTGAAATGACACAAAATATTCATTTCCAATGTTGCAAAATAATTGTGATTGTCAAATTGATTGTATTTCATAAAAAAAGTGTCTGAGAAAATCCTACAAATAATTTTGCCCCTCGCATGTCCCCTTAAGTTATCTCTTTTTATCTCCCTCCTCATTCGACTCACATGACGAAAGAGATAGAAATGAAAACGGAGACATGCAACGGGAGCATAGAACTTATATTCAAAATGCTGGACAAAAGCATTTATATAAACAAGCATCCTCTTGCGTTAATCATTATATTTGGCAAGCAAATCCACACCGTCTGCTTCATGCAAATCATACAACTCTCAAATATATACCAGTAACGATAACACCTCAGTTCTTCATCCTTGTCTTCTCTAATAGCCTCATTATATTCATCGCATCAATATTTGGTCCTCTGCATCGATTCATAATAGTGCACGAACCTTACCAGAAGAAAAGAATAGAACAGAAATGGCTGAAGCTCCATTGCAAGTGGTTTCTGTATGAACCATTCCCAAGGGAAACAAACCAAAATGGCATGCAAGATGATGCAAAAAGTCATGGAGACACTAACCTGCAAATAGAAATCGATTTAATTATCCACAGCCGGTGAAAGCAACAGTTTATTTGAGAAGAAGGCTTCGAAATTCCCTGCAACTAGTTCACACAAAGCCATGAAATGAAACATTCTGGTGTGAGGGTTGGCGACAGTACAACATTATCCAATGCAAACTTCGGGCTCATGCAATAACTTATCAAATACGAAATAAAAACACCAAAAGCTTCCCATAAATTATATTTAAAATAAATTCATCAATCTAAAGCAAATCATTTAAAATATTTTTGAAAGTTTTGTTGGGTCTAGAGATAAAATATAGCTTCTTCTTTGCGTTTGGTATATAAATTATTAGTTTCAAAATTCAAGATGTTTTCCTTAGCCTTCAAAATTGAGAAATTATTTAGCGTTATAATCATATGTGTTTTATTATACACAGATTATAAACTGAGGAAATTAATAACATCGGCGGTTACATGGAAAAATTACTCATGAAAAACCAAATTTAAAGTCCCAAAGAAAACTGTATTTCCTACGAGTCCGGTACCACCAGATCACCGATTGCATTGGATAAGGAAAAGCCCATTCCATGGAAACATTCAAACAAGTGTAAACTTGCTACCCAAATATCATGGCGACAATGCGACAAAACCTCCTACATTTCCGATAAAACACAATACTCAAACCCAGAAAATTTATCAACTCAGTTGCTGCATTCAAAATTCAATATCCCACTGAAAAACAACCCAACAAATTTTTATAAAAATCAAATAAAAATGGAAGCCATTCTTTGTGCTTCTGGTTTCAGCTAGCTAACCACGTACATTACGTACCAATTTACCAAAATGTCCAAATTCGACCCGTACAACCACCTCAACATATCCCACGACCCCGCCACCGACACCCTGACCCGCCCCGCCACCACCCCCACGACGCCCACCAACACGGACCCCACCCCGGGGGACCCCGTCGTTTCCAAGGACGTCACGCTCAACCCGGAAACCCGAACCTGGGCCAGAATCTTCCGACCCACCAAACTCCCGTCAAACGACAACACCGTGGCTCGGCTACCCATCATCATCTATTTCCACCACGGCGGCTGGATCCTCCTCTCCGCTGCCGATGCCGCCGCCCACACCAACTGCTCTCAGATCTCCTCCGAGGTACCCGCCATCATCGTCTCCGTCAACTACCGCCTCGCGCCCGAGACCCGGCTCCCGGCCCAGCACCACGACGCCCTCGACGCCATCCATTGGGTCCGGGCCCAGGCCCAGGACCCGAAGGGCGAGAACTGGATACGAGACTACGCCGACGTGTCCAGGTGCTACTTGTACGGCTGCGGGTGCGGGGGCAATATCGTCTTTTTCTCCGGCTTGAAAGCGTACCAGCTCCAGCTCGAGCCTCTGAAGATCTGCGGGATTATTATGAACCAGCCCATGTTCGGTGGGGTGCCGAGGACTAATTCGGAGCTGCGATTCGCTACGGACCAGTTGCTTCCGTTGCCTGTGCTGGATCTCATGTGGGACCTGGCTTTACCGAAGTCGACGGACAGGAACCATCGGTATTGTAATCCGATGGCGGACGAAGTGCACAGGGATTTGATCAAACGGCTGGGACGGTGTTTGGTGATTGGGTTTGGTGGGGACCCCATGATCGACCGACAGCAGCAGTTTGTGACGATGCTGGTGGCTTGTGGGGTCAGGGTTGATGCGCGGTTTGATGATCTTGGGTTCCATAACGTTGACTTTGTTGACTCCAGGCGGGCCGCTGCCGTTTTGAACATTGTTAAGGAGTTTATCATTTAGTTTTGAGGTTATTATTTTTGAATGAGAAGGTAGGGCGGTTTGATAACCAATTCATTTTTTGTGTTAGAGTATAGAGAAAAAAGAGAATGGAAGTGGGAATGAAAATAGAGATGGGATTGAGAGGGAAGATGAGAAGGAAGAATGAGAGATCGAAACTAAAAACTGAAATCTATTTGAAATTGTTTTCATTTTCAAGTTTTTGTTTTCACTTTTGTTTCTCTTCCCTCTCATCCTCACTCCATTTTCACTCTCATTTTCCTCTATACTCATAGCACAAAAAATGAAAACTAAAAACTAAAAACTAAAATTAAAATGGTTATCAAACGAGCACTAAATTTTGAAATATTTTTAGCATATCTTGTTAGAAATATACTCACATCACAATCAAGTTTCGTTCGAATATTTATTAGATTTAAATTTAATGTAATGTTTAGTAACTTTATTTTTTAGAGATCATCATATCATCACGTGGTGTTACAAATACAATCTATTTATTTAAGTCATTCTAATTTTTTTTATCTTATTTTAGTATAAGCGATAGTCTAAACAACAAGGGATGATGATTTCTCACACACATACAACTATGAAGCCAAGGGGATTCAAACCTGAGACCTATGGTCTGCAAATTAAAGCCCTTTTCCACTAAGCTATACCCCGGTTGCAGTCATTCTAACTTTTTACTTACTCATCACACGTACACGATGACTATTTTACGTTTAGCATATTAGTTTGTTGCCCTATTGGAATTCGTATTTTAAATGTTTTCTTGATGTCTTTAATTATAGTGTTGAAGTTTATCTAATGAAGTTTCTATTTTGATTATAAAAAATAAGCTCTCACAAACCCAAAGTATTATATGCATCCGAATCGTTTTCACACCAAATGAGTCCAACAAACTTTAGATTCTTGCTCAAATGGAATATAAAGTATCGTAAGAGGCCATTATTGTATAAGGAAAATCAACTATTGTGTATATAAAGGGCTCGTTTGGTGGGCTGGGTAAATTAGTTGAATTAGGATTCTAAATCCAATCTGGTGTTTGGAGGCCCAAATTGAAGTTAAACCGGATTGTATGTAATTTGGTCAAAGCCTAAATTAGGCGGATTGTTAATCCGACTGAACTTGTGGGATTAATTATCCACACGAGCACCGAGCTCGTGCTCGTGCTCGACGTCTTTCACTCACAACCATCTTTTTGTGAGAATGTGAAGGTAAAAAGTCTTTGCTTCGTGGTATCAGAACCTAACAAGGGCTTCTAACAAGTTGGTGAGTGGCTCTTCTTCTTCGACAACCATCTCCAGATCCTCTTTGATCTTCTTCGTCTCCAGCCGTCTCCAGCCGTTTCAAGCCATCTCCAGACGTCATCAACATCGAATCAGGTATATTTCGCTATCTCACCTATATCTACCTCTTGCTGGCATTTCCTTTCATTCTCTCAAACCCAACAATTTCTTCAAGTTTTTTCCGTTTGCAGGGCTGAAAACTATCGATGAGCTCCTATGCATCTTGGGAATTTTACAGATAGAATGAAAGCCATGAAAGTGCTCCTATCTGAGTCCGATCCATTAACAGTTGAACTTTTTCTTTCTTTAGATCATGTTGGTGACGAATGAGTTACATAATTAAGTTAGTTGAACTTTGGTACCTTCTGTTGTTTTAGTTGAATATTTAAGCCAGTGGACTTATTGCTTTGTTAAACCAGAGCAAACACTACAGCTACTCAATCCTAGCTTGGCTCTCAATCCATCTCTGCTCCAATCAGAGGGGGAATCCGATGACGGGTTGGTTAAGAATGAGAACGGCAACCAGGATGTGAGGCAAGTTGACGATCAAGATAAGCAACAAGAACTATTAGACAGAGAGCTTGAAGTAATAGACAAAGCATACAGTTGTGGGGTTGTTCACTTAATTGGGGAAACTGAAGTGGCAGCTGAGAAATGAGCTGGTATAGTTAAAGAATGTGATTGAGATTGACTATGCTTACAGTTTCTTGAAGAGTAATTTGAGGTAGAGTGAGAAAGTGTTGGATATTCCTCACAAGCGCATGTTGAAAGTGGGGATGATCTATGAACTTTAGGAAAAGAAGAAACTGGATACATGACTTAGTTTGAGTTCAGCTTCAGAAGAACTAATATGGGCTTGTGCAGAGTCTGTTTTAGGAAAAGAAGAAACTGGATTCAAAGGAGCTTGCAGAGTCTTTGTGGGAACATAAGAAGTCATATCTCGGAGACAACGGAGCTTTGATTTTTTTGTTTTTTCTTATTGCACAACACAATAATGTTCAACTCAAATCTTGGAGACAATCACAATAACAAAAACAGGAAGTAAAATGATAAAAGAAAGAAATTAGAAAGAAACAACAAAAGCTCATCAACTAATTAATTAATTGTAAAGCTGGATGTGCATGATCGACAATTGCAACATCATGAATAGGGGTGGCATTAATCTGGCCGAATCGATGAAACCGGCCAAATTAGATCGTAATTATCAGTTTGGTTTGGTTTTAATCAAGAAAAAGTCAAACAATTTAAAAATCAAATCGGACCGTATATAGTTTGGTTTGATTTAATTTTGATTAAGAAAAAGTTAAACGGTTTAAAAACCAAACCAGATTGTATATAGTTTGGTTTAATTTGATTTTGAGCTTTTGTAAACCAACTTAAACCAAATTGGATCATTTATATGTATATTTATTATTTCTATCATATTTTACATGTGCAATACTCTAATTAGGTAATAAATATATATATATGAATATTTGAATTAAACTATTTTTTTTTTAGTTAGATGAATTGAACTATATTAGTAATCAAAATTTGAAGTTTTATGGCTTGTTGAGCTTTATGATGGTTTCGTACTCTAGAAAATGATTTAAGTATGAAGCCAATTGTGAATTTGTTGGTTGAATTGGGCTAACAATATTGAAAAAATGCAAAAGGATACAGAATTGGGTTTAGTCCCAAACTGGGCAAATCAGAGTGTTTTAAATTGGTTTAGTTTGGTTTGATTTTCTTCATGATTTTTATCAAAATTGAATCAAATCAAACCATTATATTGTAATTAATTCAGCTGTAATTTTAAAGTACAACCAATCTAATCCGGGCTTCGTCCGCGTCCATTCCTAATCATGAATGCACTGATTAATATACGTGCAGAGATATATTAATTGTTGGTATGATGAAGATTGCACGAGCGCCACTTTAGGACTGTCCAACCCACAACAACCATCATCAGTGGACACAATCAACTTCAACATAAATATCTATATAGTTTGCTCAACATCAACTTCAACATCAACTTCAACTTAACCTCAATAATTGTAGCTAGTCAGCAGTGGCAGACCTATTAAGGCAATAATTATAGCTAGTAAGCAGTGATGGACCTATTATTTGCCGGAAAAATCATTGTAGGTGCTTCAAATTGCCCATTTACTCAACTGGTGTATAGATTACTTTATTTCCACTTTCAACATTTAAGTAAATGTCTTTGTCTTTTTACTTTCATTTATTTTTATATTACTCCATTTACTTAAGTTTACAATGTAAATAAGGAAGTACCCCCCATTTGGATTTAAATAAAAATACTAGAAAATCAAATTCCTACAAAATCAAAATATGAAAAATCGGTTTTAGTGCAAAATACGATTTAGGCTAAAAATAATGGCTCATTAATTCAATATATACTTCATACTAAAATCCCATAAAATCAAGTTTTCTTATTTGATGTGTAAGGAATAAAAACCGTCAAAAATTATTTTGAGAAAATGATAATTCCGAAAAACTATTTTTCATACTTAGTCAATATTGCACCTTAGCTAAAAAAATTCTAGGTCCGCCGGTGCTAGTAAGTTAGTGTTTGTATAGTACAAAACAAATAGATTATGATTATTTTGAACTTTATAATTTTGTGGATTTTGATTTTATTAGAAAATACCTTTTTTTATATCTATTCTATTTTAATATTTGTTGATTTTATTTTTGTTCTTGTAGAATTGTTACTTTTCACCAAATGAATATTTGTGTTGTAAACTCCCTCTCCGAATCCCTTGTAGCTCAAGTCCTAACAACCATTTTCTTTCAAGTTTTGGTAATCTTGCATTCACTCCATTTTATTTCTAATAACATGCCCAAAATGCTTGAATTATGACATAAAAATTAGTGCTCATAGAGAGGAAAGAGAGATGGAGGAGTTGTGGGCATGGGAGAAGAAGATGACAGAGAGGTTGTTGGGTTTCCAGATTTTTTATTTATATTTTGTTATTTTGTTATTTCATTTGTAAACTGAACTTAATAAATTTTTTATTAATTTTTTTAACAGTACTTTGACGGAATGGACAACATTGGCTAACGGAATAAAACACAAGGGCTCAATTGGCCAAATTGAAAATAAGGGCTCAATTGGCCAAATTGAAAATACGAGGACTAAATTGGCCAAATGAGTATAACACATAGACTATTTTAACATTTAAGCCTACAAATATTTATAATAAAATGTAAAATCCAACTCAGCTTCTTTCAGATAGCCGATTTTGAAACGCCAACATCTTTACTGTCGTTTGCACCGCAAGACTGGATTAAATCCTTAACGATGTCGTACAGAGCCTTAGCCTTGCTGGGATCAAAGAGCTCCACGCCATGAAAACCATCCTCTTCAAACTTGGCCACCACGTGCGCCCCACGTGACTCCAACAACTTCACAAACTCCTTCTGCCTATCGACCAGTGGGTCCCCACCGAACCCTCTCACTATACACGTTGGCAACCGTCCGATCCTCTCATCACCGCCCCCCACCGTCGGATTGCTATACTCATGATTCCGATCAGCTCCCTTCGGCAATGACAGGGCCCACATCAAATCATTAGAAACCAACGGCAAAATCCGATCGTTGATCAGCCTTAACTCGGACTGAGTCCTCTCTACCCCACCGAAATAAGGCTGGTTGAATATGAGCCCCCGGATCTTCACCGGAGAGAGATCAACGCCCGCGATGCGTAGACCCGCGTGGTAGACGATATTAGCCCCGGCGCTGCTGCCCAATAGGAAGCACTTGGAGAAATCAACGGTGTCCTTCAACCAGGGATCACAGCCGTTGATGTTGGAGGCCTGGCTGCGGGTCCAGTTGACGGCCTCAATGGCGTCGTCGTAAGCGGAGGGGAGAGGGTGCTCGGGAGCCAGGCGATACTCGACGGCGACGACGAGGGCCGGGAGAGAGAGCGCCATGCGAGAGCAGGAGTCGTGGAAAGGTTGTAAAGCCACGGAGAAGAGGACGAAGCCACCGCCATGGAAGTAGAAGATGAGAGGGAGCTTAGAGTTTGGGGGAAGAGGGTGGGGCTTGAAGAGCCTGACGGAGTTTTTAGTTGTTGGGTTTATTTGGATGTCCTTGGAGAGGACGAGTTGGGGTGAGTTTGACTCGGTGGCTGCGGCGGTGGAGGAAATGGAGTCAGTTGGAGTCGGAGATGGGGGGACTATGGGGAATGGGGCGTGGCGGGTGAGGGAGCCATCTGGGTTTTTGACTATGTTGAGGAGCTTGTAGGGGTCGTCGTTGGATGTTGGGGTTTGTGAAGGCTTATCCGCCATGGCTGTCTGTGTGTAGCTTGGAATGTGTGGATGCCTGTGAAGTGTTTGTGTTTATGTCTGTGAGAAAGAGAGTGTTACTTGTGGAAGAAAATGGGTGAGGAGTTAGTGGGCAGATGAAGAAATTAAAGGATATGAGCAATGAATGCCAGAAGGAAGAAGCACCTATTTTTGTTGCAGGCAATTAAATTATTGACAGAGACAGACACATTACCCAGAAAAGAAGGCATTGGTTTAAATTTAATTACGAGTGTCTGTGTGTGTGGGGTCAAAATCAGAGTCTCTTGTCTAAATTAAGAGGTGGAATTGTTTTGCGGAGGATGATGTGTTGAGAACCTTTGGATGATCCTGAAAATCATGCAGGCATTTAGATTATGTGAGAGTGAACTTGAAATAAAAATTAGTGATTGATTGAGCCTTAAAACCAGTGATTAAGAACCAAATCAAACTTAGAGTTTTTACCAAATGTGATTTAGACATGAGTCTACAGCATTTAAAAAAAAAACACAAACAGAATTGGACTTTGGCAGACCAACAGGTGATTTGGGAAATAGGAGATTTTATCTTTTGTCATGCAGCCCAAAAAACAATTGAGAAGTTGGTGCCCTCCTTTTCTTAGGCCCAGCTTGCCTCAGCTAAGTGTTTTCTTCTTTTTTACGTTTTGGGCCTTGGACTACCAAAACAATACCATTGAGAAACGTTTGACTAGATGGATGATGCCCAAGGGTACCCAGCCACTTACCATACTACCCATCAACCGGCAGATCTCGGAAAGGCTATAATGAGGAGTTTAGAATGAGGAGCTTATTTAAGTGGTTCGATTCCACCATCCACAAATGTGTGGAAATTAATGGACTTAAACATTTTAAATGGTTTGATGGTGGGATTGAACCTCTCAAATAGGCTCCTAATTATAGAAGCTCCCGAGAATTAATACCCATTACCAGATTCAAAAATATAATGAACCTCCTCATCCCAAGTCCAAAATATAATGGGAACATGCGCACAGTGAAAATAATTCTATAATTTTACACAAGGGACTTGTAACTCAAGTGGTTAAGAGCATTTTACTCATGCACCCGAGATCTTAGATTCAATTATCCCTCCCTTAATATCACTTGTATCACAAAAAGAAAAATTATATAATTTTACAAGGATTCATGCAATTATTCTAAATACGAAATGTGAAGAATAAAAATATTTCCGTTCATGTAATATTAATTAAACGGATTTATTTATCGTATTAAAATCAGGCTATTCGGTGTTTGACACTAATTGGACCTATTTATTGTTTGTGTTAATACCCAGCTACTCACCTTGTTCCAACTGGACAGGCCAAATAAGGGTTGAATTTTCTCGTGTCTACACAGAAACCATAATAACGGCAGGGCAGGGTCAACCGCTATGCATGAAAAGATGCAAATTCCCATTAATAATATTAAAGGGTAATTGGTGCAATAACACTTGAATTTCCAATTTATAGCATCACAACTGTTAACTG